GATCATTCCTGATCACTCTGAGATCACCCCCTGATCACTCTGAGATCACCCCCTGATCACTCTGAGATCACCCCCTGATCACTCTGAGATCACCCCCTGATCACTCTGAGATCACCCTGAGATCATCCCTGATCACCCTGAGGTCACCCCTGATCACTCTGAGATCATCCCTGATCACCCTGAGATCACCCCCTGATCACCCTGAGATCATTCCTGATCACCCTGAGATCACCCCCTGATCACCCTGAGATCATTCCTGATCAGCCTGAGATCATTCCTGATCACCCTGAGATCATTCCTGATCACCCTGAGATCACCCCTGATCACTCTGAGATCACCCTGAGATCATCCCTGATCACCCTGAGATCACCCCCGATCACTCTGAGATCATCCCTGATCACCCTGAGATCACCCCTGATCACTCTGAGATCACCCCCTGATCACCCTGAGATCACCCCCTGATCACTCTGAGATCATCCCTGATCACCCTGAGATCATCCCTGATCACCCTGAGATCACCCTGAGGTCACCCCCACACACCTCAGTGTGAACACATCCCAACCATTCACACGATTCAGATCATTTTTTTCTACATTTTTCAGAACATTTCTCGTTCAACAGTTTTTGTGCTTTTTCAACAAATCATACATCCAAACGTTCAGCTCCTGCAGGACATTTTGGCTATGACTTTTGGTATTTCAGCTATTTATATATTTTTAGCTATTTCACCTTTTCAGCTAAATTTGTTCCACTGAAAATGAATGGAGCTTAAAACTTTTCAAAATATTTCTAAATCTTTACAGCACCTTACAGCTTATGTTCTGGTTCAGCTCTTTTTTTACTTCCTTGTGCTAATTTTAGCTGCTTTTTTATACTTTTAGCCATTTTCTGCTATTTCAGCTATAATCTACTCCTTTCTGCTATTCATCTGCTGTATTTTACTTTTTTGTGCTTTCAGCTTTGCTAATTTGAACTTTTTGTGCTTCTTTCACTTGCTTTCTGCTTGTTTTAGCTGTTTGCTGAAGTTTTAGCTACTGTTCACCTGTTGTTAGCTAAAATTAGTTTTTAAACTAATTTCACATTTTGGGGGCCATTTCAGCATCTTTCTGCTAAGTTCTGTAAACATGCTCCTTCTGCTTCTTTATGCTAAATTTAGCATTTTCAGTTACATTTTAAACGTTTTGATGCACATTTTGGCTGTTTTAGGTGTTTTATAACAAATTGCAACTTTTTTGTTGTTTCATTCTTTCTACTAGTTTTGCGTTTTTACAGCACTTTCACCATCTGTTAGCTAATTTTAACTTGTCTGCTAGCTTTAGCTTCCTATTATGCTAATGTTAGCTTTTTCTTCTATTTTAGCTATTGCTCTGCTAATTTCTGCCTTTTGTGCTTCTGTCACATTTTAAATGAACCTGCATTAAACTTGAGCCTTCAGCTAATGAAGCATTCACACCAGCATTTTTCACAGGAAATGCCATTTCTGTAGTTAATTTGACCTTCTGATGCAGCCTGAATTCAGTTTGTTTTCCCCGTCTAAAGCACAGATTGCTGAGCACTTCTTCAGGTTTTCTTTCCTAAACTTTCTGCACCTCTTCAGGTTTGTCTGGACTGTAGTTTGACGACGGAGAAGGAGCTGGACACGGTGGAAGTCCTGAAAGCCATTCAGAAAGCCAAAGAAGCCAAAGACCGAATGAGCAGCGGCGACAGGAAGGTAACCGCCGTCACGCCGACGCAGGCAGACACTGACTCTGGAGAGCAGCCCAACAGTTTTAGCTTTCAACGTTAATCTGAAGTTTTACTGAAATACTGGAGCTTCCTTTGTTTTTACAGGGCTAAGAGTTTAAATAAAATATTTATTATGAGGAGATAAAGTGGAAACAAATGATTAACCATGTTTTTTTAGGACCAAAGCTAAAATTAAACCTGTGTTACTGAAAGGGTTTTTCCTCTTTGACTTTTTACATTTATCGCCTACATTTAAGTTACCTGTCCTCAAACTGACAAAATTATTATATTTCACCTGTTAAAGTTTTTTTTTTCTTACTGAAAAAAGCAGTTAAAACTGTTATTTATGGATATATATATATATATATATATTTTGTCCACTGCAACAGTTTAGGTACTTAAATTCAGTTTTTACAGAATTGAAGTTATATATTTTCTTTTAAGAAGAGTTTTAATCCTGTTTTTAAAAACTGCTTGTGTTCATTGAACTGACTGAGTTGTACAAACGAGCTTTAAGATAAATTTCCTCTTCATTTATCAGATTCTTTATCAGCTACATCAATATATTTTAACAGTGTTGTCATTTATTTAATGTTTGAACAGCAAAATTTATTGTAAACTTTTTTTGTATTTTTTTATAATACAGTATTTGTTTGTAATGTTATAAAGTGTAAAAAAAAAAACACATTAAACTCTGAGGAAATGAACACAAGTCCAACACTTTTTATCGGTTGGCTCTAACATCTTCTGCTCCTCGTCTGTGGTCGAGTCCAGGACAGAAACCAGACCTCTGGATCCTCCGGGGGTGGGGTCTGAGTTTCATCCTGGACCTGGTACCTCTGTGAGCCGACATGAAACCAGATGTGTAAAAACACACAAACATTTATTTACATTACATCTTCAGTTTCCTCAGAATCATATCTGTTCTCATCTGGTTTGAGCTCAAACTGAAATCTTTGTGTTTACAGACCTTTGAGTTTTGTTGTCAGATTGAGTCTTTTCTTTGTGCTGAAGAGACGAAACATTTATTTCTGCCCGTTTAGATTCTAAATAAAGACAGAGTGAAAGGTTTTCAGAGTTCCTGGATGTATTTTTGTAAACCTGATAAATTTGTGAAGAAGTTTGTGTGAAGATTAGATGATCTCTGAAGGCTTCGTCCTGTTTGTCCTTTCTGTCAGATCAGTGAGGAGATCAGACCTGCTGCTGCTGCTGCTGCGCCTCCTTCCTCCTCTTCCTCCTGCTGCTCCTCTGCTGTCGCCTCCTCTTCCTCCTCGGCCCAGCGGGCTGCCTGCCCCAGCCAAGGTAATCATGTATGTATCAGGCTGTGCTGGGGGGCTGATGCTCTGTTTGTTCTGTCTGAGAAAACACAAATCTGTCAAAATGTAGCACGAGAGCCGAAGAAGCTGAAACTGACATGATGAAGCTAATATAAGCCAAACATTAGCTAAACAGTAGCAAAATGCTAATTAAATAGCAAAACAGAATAATAGCTAAAAGCTAAAATGAACAAAAGGCTAGCTAAAAACTAAAAATAGCAATATGTTAGCTAAAAGCTGTAAGTAGCAAAAGACAAACTAGAAGCTAGATGTTGCAGAACTTAGCTAAAAAAATGTATCAAAATGGTAGTTTTAAGGCAAAAAATGAGCTAAAAGTAGCAAAAGACAAGCTAGAAGCCAAAATATGTAAACTGTTAAATAATAATAGCAGAACAGTAGCTAAAAGATTAAAGTAATTAAAAACTAGCTAAAATATAAATGTATCATAATGGTAGCTAATGGCTAAAAGTTGAGCTAAAAGTAGCAAAGACAAGATAGAGCTACAAAATGTAAAATGTTAAATAATCACAGAATGGTAGCTAAATGCCAAAAGTAGTATAAAGCCAGCTAAATGCATTAGAATATTATCTAAAAGCTAAATGTAGCAAAAACAAGCTAGAAGCCAAAAGAAGCAAAAGGCTGAAACAAGCAGAATAGTAGCAAAAAGATGAAGTAGCAAAGGCTAGCTAAAATATAAAAGTATCAGAATGTTAGTTGAAAGCTAAAAATGTCAACCGACAAACTGGAAACCTAAAGTAGCAAAAGGCTTGCTGGAAGCTACGATGAGCAAAATGTTAGCTTAAACTTAAAAGTAGCAAAAGATGAGCTAAAATAAGTAAAATGCTAATCTATCTAAATGCTATCTAAAAGCTAAAAGTAGCATAAGAAGTCTAAAACAGATCCAGTAGCTCAAGCAGATTTCGTCCGTCTGTTTTCTTCCACTCAGTTATTTAAATATTTGTTAATAAAGTTACATTTTGGTTTAAAGTATAAAAGTTACAAAAAACAAAAGTCGTGGCAGCAGCTACCTAAACTAGCCGAACATTTTGATGAATTAACAGCTAAAATAAAAATGTGAAACTTAAATACAGCAATGAAAGATAAGAGTGATGACTCAGCATTATTGAGTTTTTTTGCCTCCAACTCGGACCGTGTCATCGGTTCAAATAAAGTAAAATAAAGCTGAAATATTCATTGACAGGTTTTAAATTTCAGCTCCTTTCATCTTTTTATTAAAGATCACCTGAGCCGAGCAGCACTTTTATTTGTCCAAAAACTTCAAGCCCTCGTTCTGTTTCAGAAGTAACGAGCAGAGAAGACGTCCCCCCCGCTGCGCTCCCTCCTGCAGACGCTGCCCCGCCCCCTCAGGTGAGACTGAAACAAAGAAACAGAGCGAACGACTGAACATGAGATGAGCAGGTGTTTCTGTTCACCTGCAGGTAAATCTACCTGTGGTCAGTTTGTCTGGACAATCACTCTGCACCCAGTCAGACTCCTCTTCCTCCTCTTCCTCAGCGGTCTGGTCAGTGTGAAGCGCTTCAAAGGTTCTAAATTACCTGTGAAACAAACAGGAAGTGGATCAGAAAACAAAGATTCAAACATGCTTGTTTCAGGAAACGTTCCAATAAAACAGATTTTTAAAATTTCCTTCTTTTCTTCTTCCTCCCAGTTGCATCTGCTCCTCTTCCTCCTCCTCCAGGCCTCCAGAAGCTCCTTGCTCCTCCTGCAGCGCCACCTGGTGCCCTCTGCTTCCTGCTCACCTGTCCTCCTTCACCTCCTCCAGCAAAGACTTCATGACCCAGCTCTCCCAGCGTCTCAGCTTGGCTGTGAAGGAGGAGATGGTGGACGAAGAGGAGGAGGACGAGGAGGAGAGGAGGTCTGACTCCAGGGAGTCCCAGTCTCAGGTGGACGTGGGCGGTCTCAGGTGACTCTGCAGCTACAATCAGCTGTTTCATTACAAAACGCTGAGTCAGGTTTTTGTCAGCTCGCTGTTTTTTTTTATTATAAGATTTTTTTTTCTTCTCTCTGCCGCCTTTCATTTAATTTTATTTGTATTTTATTTTTTATTGTACATAGAATTTTGTTTTTATGAAATGAATAAAGTTTGAAATAAATAAAAAATAAATTAAAACATTTTTTACCTCATCTTCAGCTTTTAGCTGATATTTTATAGTTTTAGCTTTTTTAGCTGGGTTTTGATTGCTGTAAGTTTTAGCAGCTAATTTGCTTAAATTAGCTTTTGGCTTGTGTGTTAGTTGTTTTAACCTTTAGTTAATGCTTAGCTAATTGTAACTTTTAGGTACTCTTTTGGTTATTTTAGCTTTTAGCTGTTTTTCTGGTTTTTAGCCTTAGAATATTTTATTCTACTTTTGGATGTTTGCTAATGTTTGTGCTTTTAGCTAACGATTTGATTGCTTTATTTTTATCTACTAATTTGCTTAAATTAGCTTTTAGCTTGTGTGTTAGTAGTTTTAGCTTTTAGTTAATGCTTAGCTAATTGTAAGTTTTAGGTACTGTATTGGTTATTTTAGCTTTTAGCTGTTTTTCTGGTTTTTAGCCTTAGAATATTTTATTCTACTTTTGGATGTTTGCTAATGTTTTTACTTTTAGTTAATAATTTGATTGCTTTATTCTTATCTACTAATTTAGCTTTTAGCTTGTGTTAGCTTTGGGTGTTGTAGCTTTCAGGTAGTGTTTTGGATATTTAAGCTTGTTAATTTTAGCTGCAGGTGGGAGATGATGTTTTTATCAGTCGTTCAGATTAAAGAAGAATAAAAGAATCTGAATCTTTATTTTCTGTTCGTTCTTTCAGTTCGGGCTCCAGGGACGGCTACTTTGAGATGGGTCTGGATGACTCGGGGGAGGAGCCTATTTGCTCCTCCCCCTTGTCGCTCCCCGCTCCTGTTCCTGAGAAGGACGACGGCCGACTCGAGGAGTTGTGCGAGAAGGAGGCGGAGCTTGTAATCCGCAGGGTTTTGTGGTGCTGCTGCGTCCGGGTCGAGGAGGAGGAGGTGCAGCAGAAGGAGGCGTGTCTGGTGCTGACGGACCAGCTGCTGGGCCTGCTGTCACCTGACTCCCTGTCGACCAATCAGGAGCAAGGTGACCAGAACCAGAGTCCAGCTGCAGAGGAGGTTCTGATGGGCCTGCAGGTGGACCTCCTGGTGCCGTACTCCCGGCTCATGTTGTCCTCCTGTTCCGAGCTGCCGGACTCCTGTCTGTCCTTTGGCGTCGAGGCCAGTCCCACCCGCTGGTACGTCTTCTCTGAGGCCGAGGAGCTGAGCCGGACCAGAACCGAGCTGAAGACCCTGCTGCAGGTGAGAGGAGGACCCAACAGTTCTGGACTCACCTTAGATTTAACTGTTAAAAACGCTGACTCATCATTTAAACCTGTCTGGTTTGTTTCTTCCAGACCTCAGAGTCTCAGAGAGGCCCGGACCCCCCCGTTCCTCCTCAGCTCCTCCCCCCCTCACTCATCAACTCCTGGGAGCTGGAGGAGAGTCAGGGAGCCCAGGGAGGCTACCCCGCCCACATCCTCTGCTCCTCCTCCTCCTCCTCAGACACGCCCCCCTTCCTCTCAGACATCACCTCTGAGGAGCCCCGCCTCCTCTCACTCCTCTTCCTCACCTGCAGACACCTGTGGGTTCTGAGGATGGACCTCAGAGAGCTGGTCCAGCAGGAGGCCAGCGGTCTTCATCAGTCCTCCTCTTCATCCTGCTGCAGGCTGGTCCGGGTGCCCCTGGGTTCTGTGGTTCTGGACCCCAGAGAGGGAGCCAGAACCGGACAGGCGTCCTGTCCCGACCCACAACACAGACACAGGTACTCCAGATCTGGACCTGAAACCAAAAGTTCTGCTTCTTTAGCTTTTAGCTGCAGTTCTGCTTTTAGCTGCTGTTTCCTCTTTTCTTTTTATTTTCTGCTTGTTTTATCTTTAAAAACTGTTTTTACTTTTTTTGTTTGTAAATTTATTCATTTTATTTAAAAACAAATACCATACAAACAACAAATAATACAAATCACAAATAAAATAAAATGAAAGATAGCAGAAGGAAGAATTTTTTTTAATATCTGCCCCTTTTTCCATAAATAAATAAATTCAAACAAAAATAATCTTCAAATAACATAACAAAAAACTTCAATTCCTTCTCAAACAACAGTTCTTATGAATGCACATTATACAAATTTATTTCTTCAACAAACTAACTTTTATCATTCTCTTAAACAAATTAATTGAGTCAGCATTTTTATAATCCCTTTCCAGATTATTCCACAGTCTTATTCCTTGAACTGAAGCACATCTGTCCTTCAAATTTGAATTTTAGGCAAAATTACAAACATCTCTATACCCTTAAGATTATAATTACTTACTCTTTTAACAAAATTTGATAATATTTAAAGATAATAAATTATTATGAGCCTTATACATGACCTGCAAAATATTATAATCAACCAGTTCACAAGATTTCAATAATTTCAACTGATAAAATAATATATTTGATGGATGACAGTAATGTTTTCTGGTGATAGTTCTTACGGCTCTTTTCTGTAAAATAAAGATAGGATTAATAAGTGTTTTACATGTTTTCCCCCAGACTTCAATACATTAAATCAAATGTGGAAGAATTATTGCATTATATAACATAAACAGTGCTTTATCATTAAATAATTCCCTTATTTTATGTAATACTGCAATGGATTTGGTTATTTTTGTTCTTAAGTGATTTATGTGAAATTTCCATGTCAGTTTTTCCTCAATAAAAACACCCAAAAACTTCACCTCAGTGACTCTACAGATCTCAACATCATCAACTCTAAACGGAACGTCAATAATTTTCTTTCTATTACTGAATATCATGTAGTTAGTTTTATCCAAGTTTAATGATGTTTAATTAGTTTAAAACAGGTTTGTCTTTTAGCAAATTCTGTCTGCGTTGTTTCCAACAGCTGTTTTATAACTTTTCACAAACAAATAAAAAAACCTATCATCTGCAGATAATGCACATTAAAAAAGTCCTGACACACTTACCAAATCATTCACATATAAACAACTTTGGTCCAAGTACAGAACCCTGAGGCACTCCACGTGTAATGTTACTTCATTCGGTGCTCAGAGTTGTTTTTGTGTTTTGTAAATATTTAATTTATCTTTTTTTCTGATTTTGTGTGCAGAAGTGGTCATTCTGTGGATCTGCTCCTCGGGGGTCAGAGGCTCCTCCTGCTCTTCCCTCTGGCCCAGAACAGGAGCTCCTTCCTGGGTGACCTGATCCAGAGGAGAGCCTCTCTGGAGGGGCTGAAGATGGTGGCCCTGCCCCGACCCTGCAGCTCCTGTCCACACCACGGACCAGGTGAGCTCCAGATCCCTGTTCATGCAGACCATCAGACCTGCAGGTGGTCTTCTCTGACAGTTTGTGTTTGTTGTTTCAGGTGGGCTCCGGTCCAGAGGTCACTGCTGCTGCGTCTGTGACGCGACGCCCCTCAGCTCCAGCAGGTCCAGAGTGGTCTCAGTTGTTTTATTTATTTACAGTTTTGTTCTGCTGCTGATTTTTTGTTCCTCTTCAGCTGGGACTCCTCCAGACTCCAGGCTGAGGACAACCAGCCGTCCTCTCACCTCGTCCCAGGTCTGTCCCCAGGACTGAAGCTCCTGGCTGGTCTCAGTCTCCAGCAGCTGCAGTCCTGCTTCCTCAGATATATAACACAAGTGAGCAACACGTTTACCTGTCAGGTGTTTTTAGATAAAAACAACTTTATTTATTTATAATCGTGTGTTTAAACCAGTCAGAGACGGAGGAGCTGAGACACGTCCTGTGGCTCTCTGTGGTCCTCTACAAGTCTCCAGAGACAGAACTCACCTGCTGTCTGATGCTGTCCAACGAGTCCCTCTACTTCCTGTTGGAGGACTCTGCCGCCGCGCTGAGTCATCAGTCAGGTGAGCGCCAGGATCAGCTTCAGTCAGTTCTGAATATCTTCAACTGATGAACGTTTGAGGTCTGCCCAATCCAAGATGGCCGCCACAGTTTGTTCCCATTAGCAACACAAAACTGGCTAAAAGCTCTGGTTGTTTAACAGACGTTGACCTAAAGTTCAGTGTAGATACTGAGTGGATCATGAGATATTTTGCTAACAGACAAATGAAAGAACACATGGTAATCATGATCACCCTATTGTCATGGCAGCAGGCAATATTCAGAAAAAAACACAGAACACAAGCTAAAATCAGCAGAAGAGAAGCCAAAATCAGCAGAAGAGAAGCCAAAATCAGCAGAAGAGAAGCCAAAATCAGCAGAAGAGAAGCTAAAATCAGCAGAAGAGAAGCTAAAATCAGCAGAAGAGAAGCTAAAATCAGCAGAAGAAAATCTAAAATCAGCAGAAGATAAGCTAAAATCAGAAGAACAGAAGCTAAACTCAGAAGAACAGAAGCTAAAAATCAGAAGAACAGAAGCTAAAATCAACAGAACGGAAGCTAAAATCAGTAGAACATAAACTAAAATCAGCAGAACAAAAGCTAAAATCAGCAGAACAAAAGCTAAAATCAGCAGAACAAAAGCTAAAATCAGCAGAACAAAAGCTAAAATCAGCAGAACAAAAGCTAAAATCAGCAGA